ACTAAATTTAGTCTATCGAACATGTATGCAAATTAATGTCACAAAAAGTCTGTTCCGCAAAATTTAGCTTACAGAAATCTTATCACCCTCTAAAGCGCTCTTCATGTGGCAATACACTAATCCCATCTTTCTCTGTTGTTCAAAACATCCCTGAAGATTATCGGTAGTCAGGATCTTTTTCTCTCTTAGCACATATTCGTCTCGTTTTCACCTCTTAATGACCATTTTGGGTTTCGAAGATGAAAATAAATCTAATTCTAGTGATTTAATTGAATGATCTATTGTGGTGATCAAATTGTTTTAAGTTTTTATAGTACCCATTCTAGTCATCAATGTTGATGAAAGCGATTCTGATTTTCTTGAGACACTCCATGAAACATGGCACAACTACTGTGGTGCATTAGCCGCCTTAGTTTTTCTTGCCCAGTCATTGCCGTTACAATAGTTTATTATACTTTTTGCATAATAACATTTTTATTACATCAGCTAGCTTATTGATTCAACAGATTAGAAACAATCAAAAATCATAGATTAGTGGCTAAATAAAGATCAGTTTAGAATTCGAGGACTCCGAATTGAAAAATACGTTAAATAGATTGGTGTTGCATACAATAATGTACTAATATTCAAAACTTACTCGCAATTTCCTATTTGCTACTGCATCATGGCTAATTATGATTAAACCCTACTTGGAATTTTGAAATTTTACCTAGGCATATTCACCAGAAAAAGTGATTTTCAATTCTGTAAGAACCCTATCTGTAATTGCAGTAGGGCTTCACCAACTTATCTATAAAAATACTTATTTCGTAATGACTCAAAATGTAACTCCTGAAGTTCTAGTAAAAAACTGTAATCAGTAGTGTACAACCAAGTGGGATGTAAAACAGTTATCCACAACAGGTAATGAAAAATGGCTGCGCAACATTGCAAATTGAATAGAGTTACTAGACTTGTAAAGTTGGTTGCTATGTTAAGCCCACCAAGCTTATTCTAACTTCCGCACAAGCCAATTTATTTTTTTTTTGAGTCACATTTTGACCTTGCTAATTATTCGCTTATCAATCTTGACAGTTTTTATATGAGCATATGTGTGTGCATTTCTTATCTTACTCATCACATGCCTATAACTTATTTTTGTTCGGCTATAAATACTGATCAACGCTTGATTAAGTGGAGTTGGCTCATATTCCTTCTCCACCGCATATCACTTCGCTCTCTTCTCGTAGTTTCCTTCGCTCCGTCTCGCTGATTGTTTTAATCAATGATTGTACAAAATATATGTATTCTAAACTTCATTATCATATTTGACTTATTTAATTCCGTTACTCACTAACGAGAATTAAGTCAATGGTTATATAAAGGGATAGACGACATGTGTATTTCAATAACAATCAATCAAACGATCTACGTGCGAGGATAGCAGGAATGTATATTTCGACAGCAATCATTCGATAACTATCATTCATACGATCCAAATGGAGGCAGATATAGGGTCACTAAAAACTAATACACCAGTGGATTTTGGCTCAGTGATCTACAGGTTGTGTCCACGCATGGGACCGAAGTTCATGGGTTAGATCCCAGGAGTCAGTCGTAAATACGTACTGCCGACAAGTCCCATACTAGAATGAAACGGCCACCTTATACTCTTAGATTTCAAATGGTAGTCCAAGATTATTTCGTGACTTTAAGCTATAAAATCTATAATCTCCACAAACCCCCCTATCTTATAAATGCAATAACTTTTGAGAAGTGAATGGGGCGGTCTCATAGTTCAGATGCGCACAATACTACATTTAACGCACACTTTGAAGTTGATAAAGTATTGCTATTCACTAAAAATCTATCCCATGTTATAACATTTTTAGGTCTTCTGGTAAGTGTCAATATTTTTCGTGATAACAGTTAACACAGAAGCTGTTGTTATGCAGAAATCTGCATCTAACTTTTTTCGTAGATGACAGAACTCAAAATCTCATTCTAACACATTTGGAAAACCTTGTAAGCATCAAACCTATGTGAAATTATTAAACCTTTGTACCGTAATCATACTATATCGACGTATTGAATAGCACTTACATTTAACGTACCCGATGGACACTACTTAGCTGGGAATAGGAAATAAGAGGAACTGCACGACGGCGCTAGAGCCACAATAATCATTGGTAATATTCGTTGAACCGAATTTCCAAGACAAAATATTATGTTGATAGGCTAATTTATGACGTGGTTGAAGTAAACCATAAATAAATGTCGTATCTAGTATAATTGACTGACCCTTTATAGTAAACAACTGTCACAATCGGTTAGTGAATTTAGTTAGTAATATTAGGAACACGTGCAAATAATTCTAACAGCTTCAAATAACAGAGATTTATTTTTAAAACAACTAATCACTGAGATGAAGTAACATTCAGCTCTAGTTTAAATAGTAACGCGATACTAACGAAGTATACAAACTTCGATTCTGACTAAAACAATAATTTGATTTTAATCGGAGATCCAAAAGTTGATAGAGAAATACTTGATTCACTTCTCTATTCACCCTTATTGTTTAGTTTTATCCAATTTCTCTTCCACAGAATAACAATATCAATAAGTAGTTCGTAATCCAACAACTTACAGTCAATTAGAAAAATGGATTTCCCTAGACTAATTCGGTATGAATAGCTATTGGGTCTTCGAGGCATAATAATATTCGACTTCCCGAGTTTATGAATAATTAGAGGGATTAGTACTTTGTAGCTGATAGTTATTAGTAGTGTTCGCAGGCTTTCAACATCACATTATCTACATGTCAGCCGCTATCTTATTTGTTTTAAGAGAATCAGTGAATCCTAAACAGTGATGAACACGTATTATATTAACTTTCGTACTTTTACAGTGCACTAATAGACTATAAGCTATTGATTTAATTATCATGAAATTAATGTTGTTTGGATCACGCCTACACAGTAAACTACAATGACCTTCTATTTTAATATTAAATCCCGAATTTCAATCAAGAAGGATTTGGAAGATTGTTAAGAAATATTTGAATTAACATAAAACGGTATACATTGATTACTTGGATTCTAGAAAATAAGCTTGTCATGTATTGATGGTTTGTATGATGCTCAGAAAAACATGGAAATCCCTGTACGACAATTGCAGTGTTGGGCTTTATTTTCAGTCCAAATCTGATGAACTTGATTATGATAGTTTGGTTGGTACGTTTTTGTCAACGTACAATATTTCAGTAGAAACCGAACATTTTACACAATAATACGTACGCCAAAAGTTATAACTGGAAACTATGCAAAATATGAGACTAGTCACTACAAAACGAAGATGTTCAATGAACTCCACAATTCTAGACGTTTTGTTTACGCTATCTGACTATGAACAATGTATTGTACCAGGCTTTAATAAAAAGGTAGTTTGTACCCATGGTCAGTTTCGAAATATATCATTCGATGGAACTTTACAAATATATGAATCGAAATGTTCAATGATTCTCTCAAATTCGATAGGCTTCTGGTCCTAATTTTTATAATGTAGATACACTGTTCGGAAGACCATTTTTGAGTGGTGTTCAGAAATTCCAAAGGTGAAGCTGCGTTTGAGATATCGGCCTACACATGGCAATTCTAATGTTTCATTAATTAAATGTAGAGACTCAAATGCTAGTCGTCACCTAGTGTAACATTTAAAATATATTTCCATCTGTCAATAGTCTTGTTAACAAGCATAAGATAACAAAATCATCAATTAATTAATCTTATTAATTAGAATAACATTTGTTATTAAACCATTTAAGCTTAAATAAGTTGTCAGAATTAAACAATCGGAACTATTTTTTATCATCAACCAAACCTAGAAAAGACATTTACTTAAACCCAATCAATCTCATAAATAATACTACCATTCTGAGACAACACATGAATCCTTCATTAAAAAAATACAGCAAATCATAATAATTATTATCAAACTAATTGGGCCAGTAAATCTACATAATACCCGTGAATATGTTTGACATTCAGTGAATACTGATGTTCAATAAATGAATTCACAATGTTTTCGAACAACAATTACTTCGCGTTTAAATTTAGTAGGCACATATAATTAATGGGTCAATTTGAATTAATCCTATGCCAATGTCTATCAGTTACTGAGACATGATGATGGTGTAAACATATCCGAGATATCCTGAAACGATTAGATTTCAAGTTATCGCTGCATTTTATCACCTTCTATTTTAACCACTATCACGAAACTCATTTATAACTTTGTCTCAAGAAACTTTTTCATCTCACAAGAACTAATGAAATTAAATTGTTTTTATTTATTTGAATTGAATAAACTAATAAAGACAGTATAAAACCTTTTTTATTGTGTACTGTATTTAAAAGAGAAACAAACAACAACAATATAGTAAACTTAGCTTATTTTATTTCTAAATCTTACAATGGAATTTGTAAGAAATCAAATGCATTGAAGAGATGAGTTACTTTAGCACTTTAAAATTTGTATGACTTATTAATAAAGAAGAAGGTGATTAAATAATTAAGCCTGTTCATCTTTGGAAAAAATGTCAAATGTGGATAATTATGAAAAAATTTTAATACGACGAAACAAAAAGAAAAACATAACATAGACCATAGAGAAAATTGACGTATAACATGGATAGGAAAACGTACTACGAACAATTTATATTGACTTAGTACAAAATTAGAAGGCGATAAACGTATCAAACAGCATTATTTTTCTTCGATAGAATTTTTTATTTTATTTCAGATGAAAAATAACTATTCATATAAAAATAAATCTCTTCTATCAAAAATAGTTATTAGTATACAACGAATTTCCTTGATTGATTTACATTACAGAAAACTACATTTTTTGTGATCAGTTACTTTGCATTTTTCTCTTTAAGAAGTGAAGTAGGTAATTAGAATTTTTGGAGCACAAAAAGGTGAAGTTTCAATTAAAAATAAGTTTATTAGTCTAAGAAGGATTTAAATAAAAACCGGACTTTCACAACACAGCGACGACAGTACACTAAAAGATGATAAACAGAAATAGAAAGACATCGAAAAATAAACAAGAGGGATATGTGTTGAAGTAATAAAATTAAATCTCAGAACAACAACAAATATACCCACCTACTATTCTAATCATTGATGATTGGATCTTATTCTTACATAATCAGGAGATACTGGACAGCTATTTCGTTCCAGTAGGGAATTCATCGAGAGTATTCATCTGTGACTCCACCAAAGGGAGTCGAACCCATGTCTTTCGGTCCCGCGCACGAACACTTAACCTGTAGAGCACTGAGCAGAAACCCAGTTGTGTAGATGCCAAATAACTTCATTTAATTTGCAATATTGAGCGGCCATTTTTCATTACCTGTGGTGGATAACTATTTTACACCCAATATGGTTGTACACTACTAGTCACGGTTTCTCACTAGGACTTGAAACGTCGGATCTAAAAGTTTATCACTAGTGAGTGTGGAATTATTAGTAGTACAGGGATTTTGTGGAGTTGGTGAACTTTTATAGTTTGCACCGCAGAGTCCCACACTAGGACAAAACAATTGTTCAATCATTCCTAGTTTTTAGTGGTGGTTTATCTAATATCAGTTCGTGATGTAAACTACAAAAGTTTGCCACTCTCTACAAAACTCCTGCATTCACACAAATAAGTATGACAGTCACTGGATTTGGTGCCAACTCATTCGCGGATTCGCGTCAATAGTTCAGTTTTTAAGTGATTTTCGATCGACCACATTATATTTTTTTTGCATCATCTATCGAGTAGTCAAATATTGATCATGATGACAACCAAATATACACAAAAACTCTCACTATAATAAATGATTTGAACAACATATTCAGAAGTCGCCAATTAGTAAGTTACTATGTTACTTCTTAACCGAGTTTCTTACCGATGAGAAGCATAACAAAGACTAGATTTACTCGTCTTAGTTAATAAAACCTTTGAGACAGATTTTCAAGATAATGGGATGATAAAAATCCCAGACTAATTGTCTTACTGTTGAAATATTTTAAAGTCGAAACTCACTTCATATTAACACAATTATCTAAGCTGTTGTGTGTGTCAAAATTTGATACAACACATCTAAAATACTGGCAAAGTCTGAAATTGGTTCCACGGATAAAGCAAAACCAAAAACTACTTTTAAATACTGAATTCATAAGTAAAAAGAATTAAAACTTGATGTTAGCTGACAGACACTGGAAATTAGGCACTGGAATACTATTTCATCCTATGCAATAAAACAACTAATCAGTACGTATCAATAATTCACCATGATATCATAAATAGACCACGAATATCAATTGTGATAAGCAAGTTAGGCTCATGCATTTTGCCCAGTGACAGGTAAAAAGACAGAACGAATCAATAACACGTGGTTTTACACGAGCATAAAAAACTGTTGAAAAAGGATGAGATAGAAAAAAACAAACCTCACTGAGAAACTAGTGTCAACTCCTCTTAAAAATCAGTGTTGACTGAGCTTGTCACCTTACTACTATCGATTGAATCCATAATGCAGGTACTGGTAGATTCCCTACTGCAGTAACTGACTGTATCCTTTAGTTTTTTAGGTGGACTTATTTTAAATAGATCCACAGTATCTTTTTTATCATCTTCATCCAATACAAATTGAGTAGGACTAAGTCGAAAAGGATTGTGAACATAAGCACTTAAACGCTTAGATGCAGCTAATACAAGTCCAACAAAGAAAATTGATGGATGAGTAGGTCGACTTGTATATTCAGGATGGAACTGAGTAGCTACGAAGAAAGGATGTCGAGTAGGACATTTATTTTCTAAATCCGAATCATTTTCAAATTGATGCAAAGGTTGTAATAGCTCAATGATTTCCATACGATTGCCAACTTCTGCATCTCGACCAACAACAATAAGACCTGATTCTTCGAGTTGATCGACGTATTTTGGATTTATTTCATACCGGTGCCGATGACGCGCATCAAAGTATGGTGCATTAATTAACCGGTGCATTATACTATCTGAATTAAAGGTTTTCGATGAAGTGTATGAATCATTCGCTCTACATTCAGATAAAACTTTTGATTGTGAATCTAAGTGAGAACATATAAGTTCTGAACATTTGTAGGTACGTTGTAAGTATGATTTAGAAATTTCCGATAGATACAACAATGTACGGCGTCGACCAAGTCGCATTGTTCCACCCATAATTCCGGAATTATGTTCAGGCATATCAATGATCACTGGATGAGTGGTATTTGGGTCAAATTCGGTGGAATTAGCGTCCTAAGTAAAAGAACAGAACAAAACACAAGTCAAAATATCATACGGAGCAACAACAATAAATAAAAAAATAAGTATCAGTCAGTAGTAGATAGTGATAGCTGACCTAAATGTGTATCGGTCCAAGTTGTCTTAGTTCCAATTGGGTCATAGTGAGAAGAAATCAACAAGATATGAAGGAAAATAATTAAATTTTGGTGACAACTTACCATTAGCTTGAACTCCGTCAATATTGTTCGAGTGCACAGCATCCGAACTTATGTTTACTTTTAGTACACTTTTCAAAAATAAATACGATCATAAAACCTGTTAATTAATACACTGAATTCCATCTTCCGGTAAAGAAATAAAACTAAAAACAGTCAACATTAAGTCTGTTCACCTTTTAAGGCCTTATCTATACATCCATGTTCACGTCTGAAGTAGAACTATTTTTCTCGGTTTGTGATTCCTGAGCTTCAATTAGGAGTTGTATTGTTATCGAAGCTAGTAAATTAAACTTCAGCGCCTTTCCGTCTTGCTAAGAACTGTGTGATGTATATTCTCACCTCCTTAACAATCGTTCTGGAACTTTACTCACTGTTATTTCATGAGACCATTGCGTTGACTATTTACTAACCTACAAATAAGTTTTCTACAATACTACGTGTATCTGAGCGATGACGGGGTGAGTTTTCAAGTATATGTTGGCTTGGTACAGGCTTACAGAATCCATTTATCTTTCCTCACCTACCGGATAAACGTTATCTTTTTTGGTCAGCCAACAACCTAATTAGTTTTCTCTCAGAAACGCTCTTGATGTTTTCATTTTCGAGTTATCAAGAGTGCATAATGAAGAAGAATATACAAACAAACTACTCCGTCGAAACAAAGAAGTATTTATGTGCGAATTTTCCAAGATATCAAAACTTGTATTGATGTCAAAATCCAACTATGCCTAAAAATCGAAAGTTGTGTGATGAAGGACACTTAACCTAAGTTTATAGTGAAATGCCTAACATCTGGCGAATACTGAGCATCAGGCCACTACGTTTACAATTTGAACGAACGTTAACCTGTCTCTCTACGTCACATATAGTTTGCAGTGTTATGACAAACAACAATTAAAATGGAACTGATATTAGACCTACACTACAAACGGTTTGCACTTGAATTACGTAGGTTGATGAAGTTAAGCTATCACCAAAGCTAAACTTGAGATGGTGGAGAAGATTTGTAGCTCAGGTGGGTGATTTTGGTGGAGTTTTGTTCTCTGAGCTGGATGGTTTGGTCGTGGAGCTTTCATCGTTCTTCTGAACGACAAACTTCAGGTAGAAGTTTGTGCTGATGATGTCGTTCAGAAGAACGATGAAAGCTCCACGACCAAACCATCCAGCTCAGAGAACAAAACTCCACCAAAAGCTAAACTTCTTTTCGATGTGAAAACCGTAGCGGACCTGCATTTATTGACTAGTCTTAACAAGTCTACAAAACAAAGAACTTGCTATATATATGATATTTCATCGAGGAAGGAAATTAGTAGGTTTGTTTAAAATTATCAGTAGGATAAACTTGTAGATTCCGAGACAATTATGAATTGTTTAAGATTAAAATCCTAACAGAGCCTCTTACATAAAAATAATCTGTCAAAATACTGTAGGGAAATAAATGAAGATTAAAAACTAATGGTTTTATTTTAGGAGTTAAACTAGTGGAAATAACTGTTAGTCGAATGGAGAATCAAGAGTAATTTGATTACATAAAACGAGTGTGACATTTAGAAATGTGACTGAATAATAATCATTGGTGCCATTATTACTGTATTGGTCGGAATTACTGAATAATAAGAAATCAAAGTCTTAAGAAGAAACTACTGAGAAGTACCGGTAAACCATACACGGTGCAAATGCATTAACATCTGGGACCTCAGAAAATAACGTTAATATTATGAAAGGAACATGAACACTAATCATAGAAATGATATACTCCATGTCTAACTTGGTGTTCCTTTGGTCAAATGATATGCGGGATAGAGTGCAAATCAAGTCGATGCTCTTTTATACTCAGATATTCAATGTGAATATTCAGAAACTATATGGATCTGTCGTCAATAATAAACACTTTCCCAGTCAATTAAAAGGTATGACAATGACTTCTTGGAATCAATGAAAAAATCAATAATATTCTTCTTCTAAACAGACAAACTAAGGTTATTAATTAAATCAATGTTACAATATCAATTATACGACCCGCTTAAGGAAAATTGTCTCGGAAGAATCATGATATTGGATATGAGAAATTAATTTTAGCGCAGATGGACATTAAACCTCAGGTAGCAATCAATTATGGTGTACATTTCCATTGGTATATAGACTAGCCTCATTAAATGCCATAGTCAACTGTTTCTCTTTAATAATGTTAAATGAACTTGCTAATCTGAAGTGCAAAATTGCATCTGAAAAAGGTAAAGCTTGACTTCTAAAAAACTTGCATCACTACACATACATTTCCCAGACAGTTTTATAAATACTTACGATCTAATGAACTGCATCCAAAGGTTTATAATCTTTTGCAGCTTGCGAAATCTCATATGGAAATATGTGATGAAATTATAAATAAACTAGTTGAACTTCATATTCATGCAACACAAGTGTTATAGAATATTTCTGTAATGTTATATTAAATCTATGGACTTCTGTAGTTTAGTAGTTGCTAAAACAAAGGATACTAAACAAACGCTGAATAAATACATTATTGATGATAGTGATGGGAATTCATTTCAATTTAACTCAGATAAGTGTGTAACAAATTTATCATCAGTTAAAATTTCTGTATCTGAGAAGGAATCTCTATCTATCGGAATTAATTTCTCCGTCGAAATTTCTGACATATCGATCGATGCTCAGTTTGAAACTTTCTATGATCCGCTTAACTTTCTTGTTCCAACCGGTCCAAATAAGCAAAATTAGTTGACATTGCCCACCACTTCATGATTCTCAAATCAGGCACAGGAATATTTTGACGCTTCAAAAAACCTACAAAGTAGATCAGATATTGTGATCCTCAAACCTGACAAAGGTTCTAGGGTGATCGATATGAATAAATGTGACTACAAGGTAAAAATGTTAACTACACTTGGTGATCAGAGTAAGTTTCTGGTGGACGTTTCATCCAATATTAATATTAGAAAATTGGAGTCCAGAGTCGAGTCCAATTTACTAAAGCTTCTTAAAATGAATATCATAAACAAAGAGGAGTTTAATATACTAAAACCTCCGGGTTCTGTTTTCCCGAATTTATATGGATTACCTAAAACACATAAACCTAATAATCAATTACAACCAATATTATCTATGTGTGGTTCACCTACACGTAAACTAAAAAAATGGTTAGCTAAATTGCTAAACCCAATCCGTAATAAACTGTAAGTTTTCCTTAGAAGATACATTTGAACTAATTGATCTTCTTGATGGCATTAATATTAAAGAAAAGACCATACGTTCTTTTGATACAAACTCTTTTTAAGAATGTACATTTAACTAAGACTGTTGAGTTCCTTTGTAGCCATATACCGAGTAATTTGCCCTCTATTCCTATTCGCTCAGCACTGTTGGGAGAACTGTAAAAGTTAAGTTCATGATTGAAGGTGAACATTTTGGACATGTTGATGAATGCACGATACATATTTTCGATAGTGTTAGGGTAAATTGCAATCTTTTATTGTTTTTTCTTAAGAAATGACTTACTTTCCAACCAAGTACGTTTCTGGAAAATTCAATCACAGCACATTGGAGGCCCAAACAAAGACCCAAAAACGGCACACCTCTTTCTCGACAGAAGCGTATAGCAGCTAGTTTCCCGTCAACACCTCGCTGACCAAAACCTCCAGGAACAACAACAGCATTAGAGCTACTCAAAGTGAGCCAAGCTTGATGAAATGCATCTGGACTCACGATACGGGTGTTTTCTTCGAGATCCTCAGCACACACAAGTGAAAGATCCAGTTTTAAATTTGTATAAATTGCAGCATGACGAAGAGCCTGAGAAAAGAACATAAAGGTAATAAAAGCCAGACCAATGTGAAACGAAGCGTAGTTGGATATTGATTTTAACGAACCTTTTCCATTTTCCAAGTTAACATCATTTAATTTGGATCATCTGGATTACTCGATAGAGATTCAAGGGGAAAGTATGTAACATCGAAATTAAAAAATGCCATCACTGTCAGTTTTAAAAGAGGGATAACAGTTGTTTGTTAATACGAGGATGAAGGATAATCTTCAATTCCTTAAGAGTTTGGTATTTATACTACTGTGGTTAGCAGGACATAGACTGGATTAAAGCATGCCCAATGCACGATTGCTTTGGTGCACGTTGATTGGCTAATTCTTATCCGATCAGCACTAGTCGATAGTTGGAGAATACTCTAGAATCTTCTCATGTAAAAACTATAAATATACTAACGTTTTCTCTATTGTACTACTTACTTGCTTCTTACTTGTATCTTGCATCCATCTAACCTTGTTATTTGGAATATAATCTCTTTCCTGTTCAACCGTGTTCTGATTTGGGGTCTTGTCGAGTGATTTGGTGTCCAAGGATACTAAGCAATAGGAATAGCTGGGTCATAACCGTAAGAAAGAGATTATAACAATGGCGACCGGGAAAAACTAAAGAAAAATGGCGATTTCTTTAGAAGATTTGCGGTTAATATTACAGCACCAGCAGAAGTTGTTAGCCTAGCAACAACAACTATTGAGCACACTTTTCACTCGACCAGAAAATAAGAAATCTATTTATGATGCATATTTAGTGGAGGGTTCAAATCCTTTTATACCTGAGTCAGAACGTAATATTTGTAACGTGTCCGGCTCACAGCAAGAAAATACTGTGCTAAATGCTCATAAAGTTGTGGCAATACGAGATGATCAAGAGCCAGACCCTGTAGATGAAGCCCGGAGTCCAGAATTGAATGAAATACTACTGGTCCTGTCTAGCTCTGAAAATAAATTTCAGCTAGAACAAAATTATGGTTCACGTGATATTAGCCGAGAAAGCCATGGGGACTCGTATTCAGAAAATAACTGCAGTGACACGATGAACCCAATTACACCGAATTTTACTCAAAATGATTGTGAAACAGAAATTTATATTGAATCAGCTTATCCGATTTCTAATGACAATGTATCAGATATGGGTTCTCAGAATAATGCATGTAATTTTGATGAAATTTCTTATAAAAATGAGGAAAATATGTCGGCTGAGTCAAATCATGGTCAAAAGTCTAATTTAATTTTGTTAGATGTTGATTTCCGTAATGATCCATTATCCACTGATGAAATTCCTAATGGATTTGAAAGTAATGCTTCAGAAGAATTAAACTCTGACCTCAAATCAAAGGTCGTAAATTATCATCTAGTCATTTCTAGTGGATCCGACATTCAATGCGAGAAACATCGTTTAAATAAAGTCCTATTATTTGTAACTTGGGGATATAAGGATCCGACATTGTTTCGCGGAGGAGAATGTTGGAGAACTAAAAGTTATGCATACTTTTTAAAGAAAAAAATCAAAATGCCGGGAACAGACATGTCAGTCTCTGTGCAAGAAAAAAGTCATAAGTCTTTATTGCCTAGACGATTGATTAATCGAAAGCACAAGCCAGTCACTCAGTTGCAGTTGGACCCAAGCACCAGATCCTACGAATCTGCTCAAAGGGGAGGTGTTAGCGGGACATAGACTGGATTAAAGCATGCCCAATGCACGATTGCTTTGGTGCACGTTGATTGGCTAATTCTTATCCGATCAGCACTAGTCGATAGTTGGAGAATACTCTAGAATCTTCTCATGTAAAAACTATAAATATACTAACGTTTTCTCTATTGTACTACTTACTTGCTTCTTACTTGTATCTTGCATCCATCTAACCTTGTTATTTGGAATATAATCTCTTTCCTGTTCAACCGTGTTCTGATTTGGGGTCTTGTCGAGTGATTTGGTGTCCAAGGATACTAAGCAATAGGAATAGCTGGGTCATAACCGTAAGAAAGAGATTATAACAACTGTCAACCCTGACAATGAAACATTCATTAACAAATAGCTAATACATTAAAGTCGAAATCTTGGTAATATTTGAAGTCGGGTATCATTTTGTACTGATTAGTCACACATCGTCTGACAATAAATTTAATTTACATGCATTAGAGACAGGACACAAGATTAATTTTGGAGGGACCAAAATACTTTAGAAAGATTTTAACACTCATAAAAAAAGATTGACAGCAAAAGCGCTCTATATATGGGCGAACAAGAACAGCTGGGACCGAAAGGATGGTATTCAACTAGCGACTACCTGGCAAATATTCATTGCCAAGTAATTAAACCCTTTCTTTATTCAACCTGTTTATTTCAAATGCATCGTTATTTTGACTGGAATTAATGTAAGTTATTTTTAGCAATACAATTACCTATTTGATGATTCTCATTTTACTTGCACTTCAATGATTCAGAAACATTTTTTCAACCTTCAACTTGCACTTTTATTTTTCCTTCATATAAAAACATATTAACACCGAATATCATTCATTAATAACTCTATCTTACATATACATATTTACACATACAGATAATTCGTTTGTCATTTATTTCCACATCGTGAACTTTTCACATGATTCCCATTGAACTGATTCATGTTATCCTATTTACTAAAACTAACATCCAAATATTGTTGGATTAACCCAGTATAGATTTGATTGTTAAAAGGCTACATATATCTTTAATGATTTTGATTATTACCATGAAGAAGTCCAGACAAGTTAGCTGAACGAAACGATGGAATTATTTAAATTTCAATCGCTGAGACTATTTCAAACATAATTTTTATATAAAACGCTTACATTTACTTTGTTTTGTATTTTTAAACAAAAGTTTATTTTCATCAAATTGATGAGTACTACGGTTGCTTATCAATTTAACGACCTTACTAACACAAAAAGTCAGTAGCTTAAATTTCATACGTGAAAATCGTATCAACTGATATTATCCAGTGATTAGCATCGTACTCAATATTTAACGATCTAATCAAATGAAAAGAAAAAATTTAAGACCTGAATACGGTGGATCTTTGACGTACTGTACTGTTTTTTTCAGGAATTTTTCTTCTATTTCGAGATTTTATGCATGACCTTTCGTTGCCAGTTATTGGTCAACCTCAAGGAAAATTCACACGACAAACCAAGATTGTATAGTAAATTGAACGTTAGTGTAGAAGAGCTATTTAAACAAGAGCATTTACCTGAAGAGGTGGTAACTCATGTTTCTAATTGCATGTACCTATGTATCAGTTTTTAGTATAGTGACTTAGTGTATATTAGTTTCCTAGGCAGTTTTACCAGCTCTTACTATCTAGTTTAGTTAACCAAATATCAGGAGCATAAGCAGTTGTAGATTATTTTAAATTCGACCCCACAAATTACTTTATTAACATATTGACACGGGGATTTTACCAAAATATAGCTGATGGAGAATAAAAAATTCAAGCAAAACTGCGTAAAAATAGCTGAGCTTTCCGATAGCAAAGCTACTGGAAATGAATGACCTATGGCATGTAATGAAGTGAAGATTAATATAATCGGTTCCCAGTTAATTAGACCTGAGTAACATAGAACCTGGTATCGATTTCAGTTACACAACTACAACAATATAGTGAGGAATCACCGAGGGAAATATAATATTAGTACGAATAGTAGTAGTAAAAACGATTAAGGCTCGAGAAATGTGATCTAAAAAAGAGATTACTAGCGAAATAAGAGGTACAAAATAATTTTGGAGGGATAAAAAGTGAACGCGTCAGCATCAGTGAACAATTACGAGCCATGTCACCTATAGCCTCAAACCGTTAGTTACGGCAATCAGGAGGGGAGTAGTTTGCACTTACTTATATCATTCAATTTAACAGCCAATGACTTCAATGAATAATATCACTTCTTGGTTAGGCCGCTTCCTGTTTTCTTTTAATCTAATTCTATTAAATCCGAAATTCCACGTCAAGGTATGTGGTTCAGCGCACATAATACATATTCCAGTCATTTCAGTCGACGAAGATTCGCTATCTCACCAATCGATTCCCCATTCTTAACAAGTACCCTGCGCCTAAAATCATCATTGCTCACTCGGTAGCCCAAACATACACGAACAATGTTTCAGAGGTGCTTATGACCAGATGCAACTAACCGACATATATTCTCTATTTTGAAGGCCATATTGCATAGCCACAAATTAAAACAAAGCGAAATGTTGACCGGTATACTCACCCCATAGTTAGCAGATGAACATCTCGTCCACGCCTCAAAATATAAAAAGTTAACAGATCTTTCCGATTTCGTGCCATAGTTTGGTCAGAGCACCAACAAACCTAGACTAATGAGACCTTGAAGATAAGTGAAGTTGTCGACGCCCATGACAACTTTAATTTCCATCAACGGTTTAAACGTTGATATAGGCCAGTTTTGAAATAGCATTTTGCATTTAGAGGGGTAAAAATCCAGTCAAAACATGCCTGCATTGTCGATGACGGTGATTAGTAGACTACTTTGTTAGTCGTTACTAAACAGAACTAAGTCATTTGAGGATTTCAATTCGACACGTAATTCCCCTGACCTGAGTTTTGTTAGCATATGCATGACATTTAAAAAAAGCAATAGAAAATAGCACATTAAATTACCTTCAACAATGACAAATAAGCGTCACTAAGTTTGGTATATTTTCCAACTATAGCTATATGGACAACTTCCGATGCCAGCTCCATTTGACGAGTCAATGCTTTCCATTTCCCAAGAATTGGATATTCGATGTGTAGTTTAGGATTCAATTGGAAATGCTCCAGTAGTATTGAGCATAAATTTTGATCATTTAATCGTAAAGGCACTTCATATAAATCACTAACATCTAAGGAAACAATAACCTGTTTTACAAAATGATAATACAAATTTTTTAGCTAAACAAGCACATTTAAAGCAAGATAACAATACATTTTTAGTAAAATAACCATATAAAAGTCAAAACGAAGTTTAAGATATATGTGTGAAGCCGATCAACCAAATCAATATTTTTCAGTATATTTAGCTTAGATAGTGACCGCTTCTATAGAACCCACACAATGTACAGTGTTCCAGAGTTTGAAAATGAAAATGAGGAGGTTAAGAGCCATCGGTTCATTAAAAAATTATTGAGTACAAGAATATTGGAGATTCGTTTCTACTGCGTGAAACGCATAAAAAAAGACCAATCCAGTGTTACCTTTAAATACCTATCACTGAGACTGTGATATAGTTTATATTTACTTAATAACTAATTATACTCTTTTTATATGATTATGGCTGCTATTCCCAATTATAGATTTTCTTTACACCACAAACATTCAGAATGTGTGTTTTATACTCATTTCTTCTGACTGACGATAAGTAATTCCTATTACTATGCTATTTGTGTTAATTTACATTTTAGAGATACGTAAAAATATTATAGATTTTCACTTGTTTCAATGTCACGGTAATACAGAACGTGTTTGAAAAAGAAATGATATCACTTAGTAAATATTTTAGCAATAAAGAATTAGTAAGTAAAATAATGAAGAAATTGTTGATTCTTTACGAACTTAAAAATCAAAAATATTATCAATGAATTATAAAGTAGAAGAACCAATAAGTGGGAACTTGACGAACACATAAATATTGGTACGAGGGAGCACCAAATGCATATGTGCCACACAATAATAATGAGAATGAGAAGAGATAAAGAATGTAAGGTGCGTGTAAAACGAAAAAAAAGAACAATAACAACCACAAATTGGTGTATGGTAGTAAAATAATAATAAGTACTTTGAACATTCTATAACACATGTAATTCACACTCAACAAATAACTATAATATTTAGTCAGACAAACCATACAGTTTAAATGGTTTTTCTGCAGTCATTGTTTATAAACGACAGTAACAGTATTTTATCTTTCAATACGAGTGAGCAGCTGAAGAGCATCTACGAAAACAGAATAAAGAAGCTATGGTATTCTGCTTTAATCATTGTCTTCATCTCATTTTAATCCTATTAACTTTACTTTTACAGATGTGGATCCAGTCACATATCTCTCAGACATATTACAAACTAACTTTTTAGGAATGGATTAGTGTTACTAATGCTACTATTAATGGTATATTAACTAGACTAAAAATAATTGCAAGACAACATTAAAAAATGCAAATCTTCATATGAACACGGGGAGAGTTTTAAGCGAAGTGAATTGTGAACTAGGATTTCATAGTCACCAGTTTTTTCGGGTAATGTAGAAAATATTAGTAAGTAAAGAAAGATGATTCGTAGTAAGAAACTCTGGTTAAGTAGGAAAAAAACTTTCAAAAAGATTATGAATTACTTACACGTTCTACTGCAACTTGACTAAATAGGCTGATTTTGTTGATGACACTAGAGGGTAGCGGTGAACTACAACGACACATAAGAAGATCTGGATGTAAGCCGCAGGCACGCAGTTCACGTACGCTTGCCAATAAATTCGATACGAAGTAAAGAAAATTATAGGTTAAAAAAATAGTTTGCAATATCTACGAAGAAATCAATGGTTCTGTTTGAAAAAGTTTTCAGCTTACTAAAGCGTAATAAATAGACAAGTAAGAAAATCCTTCCACGTAAACTAATAGAGCAGGATTTGAAGTACATAATGTATCAACATATTTGAACAATTAGAATTTATCTCAATTAACAACTTCGTATTAGGAATCGCTTGCTAATCTAACTAATCTTACGTTACCTGAATCATAAATATTGATACGAACAATCTTTCTAACGCACAACTCTACCACATAACGTTGCTGAATTCAGGATGAATTTGCGATGTAACCCATAAGAAAGTTTGCAAATAAATGTACAGGTTGGATGTCATTTAAAATTGCGCGAAATCAAACAAATTTAATTTTCTCATACAGTTTAATTTCGACAAAAATGCCATGTACAACATACGATAGCGTAGATATATACTATATACTTATACCTGGACCTCGGGGGATTTGATTATTAGTTGTTTGGTGTAAGATATCTTACGACAGATTGATATCAGTGAAAAAAATACATTCAAAATTACGGAGTGTAGGAAAGTTATTCCATTTTCCTTTGAATATCTTCAGTAGTGCATGAATGGAACAACTAGTGATGCTCAGTAAGAAAAAAGCTATCTAGACTGCATTAATTAACAATGAAAACCACCACTAGAATAGATTCATTAATCACTGGTTATTATAAATCGAAGTGTTTTCATTCGATAGGCAGAAAAATAGAAAGGTATGAACTTTTTACCAGGTGAATGATTAAATATCAATCATTTACAACTAAAATATAAATAAAACCACATGTAGTAAATATTTAGTATTACTATAGTCCGTAAGAACGAATGATTCCAATTTCCTCATACTTAGGAGTACTGTTTAGTGAACTAGACAGATGCAATTTTAAAAAAGTTAAAAGAAAATTAAATCAGAAAAGCTACATTCTATTGATAGAGAATAGGATAAGGAAAAACGTACTGCGTTTATTTTCAAGTTAGCATTTGAGAGAGACTGTTAACGGTTAAAAGTAAAATATATGCAGTACCAAAAAAATAATAAATCGACAACATTCACCTATAACAGCAAACCAATAAGTATAGTTTACGGAGAAATTTTAATATATCCATTAAAAAAAAAGTAAATCTCCGTAGAAATAAATACCTCAATTCCGTTAAATGAATAAAACAGCTGTAAAGAAAAGATTAAAAATTTTTTAATATATGCAGAGAAAATAATCTTCTAGTAAATATCTACCTTGACAGTTCCCACTCATTTCTACTAAGTGTACTATCCGTCATAGCTGTGAGACTGGAAATTATTTGCTGTTGATGCACCTTAGTAAAGATCATGCCCGACCATTGCTGCTACCTTGACATGGTGGTCGGGCTCACCTATCGTAATGAACCAATCGAGCTATACTGGTTGGAACAATCGTTCCTCACGGTCCTACCATGTCAGACAAGTCGGTTGAAGAGCAGTAAGATTAAAAGCAGCAAACCTAAGTTGCGAGGGCGAAGTTTTATTGCCGACTGTACGGAGGTGTGATGGCAGTAAGGTGTTTCCTTCAGGCAACTAGCATTACGTCGATGCTGTCTTCCTACAACAAAGGATGAAGTTAGAGAAGGTCGACCCTAAATATGCACACCTCACCTTATCCCACAGATTTCCGTCTCCGGAGGTAAGGTCCCAACAAGTACTGAGCTAACACGAACACTACTCACAAAAAGATCGTGTGTGACCAGTCTCAGGCAGTCGTTCCTCGAGCACTGCGGTCACTTTCTCGGGTCACTAAGGCCACCTCTAACCCGATTTCCTTCTCAGGTACCTCTAGAAGAACCTTTCCATGATGTGGGTAGCCGGAAGCTGATAACTGCCCTCATACCTCTAACAGCACTCAAGATCACTGACTGAAAGGTCATGCATTCGACTTTCAGTTATATGTTTAGTAAGACAGTCAGATTAAACTATTTGGCTCCTTAAACTAAGGTAGGCAATGTTGGGTCCGGACACACAAACTAGCTTCAGAGATGAGTTGTTTAACTACGAGGCTACAACTAAAGCTTACACTGAAAAAAAATTTCGGTGGAGCTAAGTTCTTTGAAGTATCTTTCCAAAGAATATCTTCCACAAAAACTTCAGACAGAAGTGAGTTACTGGAATTTCTCTATATGTGACTAACAGCTTTTTTGTGAAGATTATCTGATTGGTTGTTGTTAATAGAGGTTATTTCATTGTTTGGACATTTGCTTTGTCTTCCATCTTGGTTTAGTTCTTGGTCTTATGGTTATTTATGGTTTTGCAATTGGTTGAGAAATTGGATCCATTGCAATATCTTCATCGATTCCTGATTGACGTAGGTGCCAAAACTCTAAGTTACCTAGTCCTTTATCTACTCTTTCCGTCTGTGATAGGAACATTTCTATAGCCGAACGCATATCCACATTGGTATGAAAGAAAGCATGGCGTTACTTGTGACAACTAATTGTTCATGGAGATGGTGATGAAGAGGATGGCCACTTTGGTTGATGCAATGTTTCTGATAGCTAGAGAAATTTATTTTACAGATGATGTTTAACTTTTCTTTAGTCATTTTATTCTTTGGTTTGCATAAAATTGATTGAAGTGAGCTTGTTGGCTTAAAAGTGTTCCTAATCATCTGGTTGTGATTTCCGAGAATCAAGCTTGATAGTTAGGTTTTTAAGTTTATTGGTTTATGAGTCCAATCGCTTATGTTAAATAACATGTGGTTACGTTCATTTCTGCGTAAAAAACACCGTTTAAAAGCGTCAATCTTCTAGAAAGAAAACTTTTGCTCATCAGGTTTGCTATCATTTGATGCTGGTTCAAGATTGCCAATAATTCAGATCTGTGAATGGTTATTAGTTGCGCAGTTACATAATGGTTAAGACGTTAGACTTTCGGTAGCTGAGTCTTAAGTTTAGACCCTGCCCCATGTACTTTGATATGGGCAGCCGGGTATTTGTACCACCAGCTCTAACACTTTGTGTGGCTCATACTCACGTATCTGGTGAATGAGTTAATTGCATTTTTGTGCATAGTATACCGATTAATTATCTATTATTCATTTTAATAACCAGAAATATCCTCAGAACAATACCAAAATTCACTACTACCACAGAAATTTACCGGAACAAACAACATAATCCCTTATGAAACTGGGCATACGATGGTAAACAGCTCGAACTCACAGTTCTTAGGTCTTGGCACTGGTTCATAATATGCAAATAAACTAGATAATTAAGGCTACACATAATGTCCTAACGAAAATATGGATGGAATCATGTGTAAAACGGTTTAAAACCCGATGTTTCTGGTATGTGATCAACCACATATATATGATGCATGTTTATAAAATTGGAACAATACTTTACTAAGCTAAGGAATAAATAGAAACTAACTTGGGTAGGTTTGGTTTTAGGCTCTCCAACAGACTGAAGCTGAGGTACTAGACTGACATGTACGCAACAAAAATTGACACTTCCCACTCGAAAAAGCATTTGTCTGAAGGCCTCAACATACGGCATAGATTCAATATCGCCGATTGTACCACCAAGTTCAATGATGCATACCTCTGGGGTTGAACCACTTTCATCTACTGGAATTCGAGAAACATTTGTGACCCATTCAATAATAGCATCTGTGATGTGTGGGACGACCTACGACAAAAGCACTGGATTATAACGACTTAAAGTATACTAAACAAATAAATTTTATGTTATTTAACTCAAAATACAACAAACTTATTTGTGACACATAGTTTCGTGTCGTGGATAACATTCATATCCGGGAACACAGGTCAATTCAACCAAACAATCCATTTAACATCAAAAAGTCACCAGACAGGCAACCACTTAAACTGATAAAATTAGAAATTAGCATGTTATTGCAATGATTGATATCGCCACACCTGAACATACAAGGAATAAACTAAACTGAACAACGAACAGGAATTGAGAGTAAAAGAACGGGGATAAAGTGTTAAAATAATTAGGTTTTAGAGGAGGATAATGATAGTATAAAATATGCACATATATATAAGTCAAAACATTTGATGAAGCATTCTTACTTGTACTGTTTTCCCAAGGTAATCTCCACGACGTTCTTTTTCAATTACTTTCTGATAAATTTTTCCAGTCGTAATGTTATTATCTTTGGTCAGTGTTATATTTAAAAATCTTTCATAATTTCCCAGATCAAGGTCAACTTCACTTCCATCATCCAGAACGTAAACTTCTCCATGTTCAAAGGGGGAGAAGGTACCAGCATCAATGTTTAAATAAGGATCAATTTTTATACACGTAACATTCCATCCGTATGCTTTTAAAATAGTCCCGATGCTGCTAGAGATAATACCTTTGCCGATCCCGCTGATGACCCCGCCAGTAACCAAAATATATTTCACTGTATCCTACAATAAATAAATATTATCCAAAAACACCATATGAGACATGTTTTAGCCTTGAGTAAAATGAAAAGACTGCAGAAACACTAGAATTACATCCTGAAGATCTTGACAAATGTTGACGATATCCTGAGTGATTTTGATTGAGAATTAATAAAGTGCTAAAATAAACGTTCTCAACTACACCAACAAATATTTAGACAGAGTCACGTCGAACAGCAAGAATTCAATTACCGCGTCAGACTATAATATTAGACTTTGATGCGCGGAGAAATAGGTGGGACTGAATGTTTTTCGTCGAGATTTAGGTATCTGCACTCTAATCAATATTATATACCGTGAATTTTATATCAAGGATAGTTAGGTAGTTATGCTTTTAAAAGTAGAAATTTACTCATTTGATTCATAAAACTAGTTATTGAAAACGAGTTGCTTGGAGCTATATCCCCCAAATACCCTGGTACGGCCGAGAGGAGAGTTCGCTCTCCCTCTCGAAATGCTCTCACATGGCCACGCGTATACAGCCTCTGCCAGGGAAGTCCTACTCACTGCCTTCTCTTGGCAGGGGTGTTGTTTACGAAATTGAGAGGACGAAAAGCGAATGTCTGGTGCTTTGGCCGGATTCCAAACCAATGGTGCACATGGGCTCCAGTATCCTGTGGGAACAAGTGGCGTATGAACCAATTGTTGGCCACCGGCTTTCATGGGACTGCATCTCCTCAAGATGCTCCACTGCCTTGTGGATCAGACCTTCAGGTCGAAGGCTCAGGGAGTGGCCTCCTAAGAAAACCACCTGCTTCGGTTTGGGCACCCGGGCAGTATCACAGCCTTCACACATATCGAATGAGATTTGTGTGGCGCATATGTATTTGGTGCCTCCTTGTAACAATATCTAAGTGTTAAAATAAATAAAAAATAAAATTGGAGCTATAGCTATTACAAAGAGTGCCTTGTGTGATCAAGACATTTTCGGTATTATGGTTCCCGATTAATATGTGTGCTCAGTCACTGCAAAATTTATAAATAAACTAAACCGTCAAGCCAAAAAACAATAGAAACAGTTAGGACACTTCCCAGTACGCACTTCGGAAAAATAGCGTAGTGTCTGAAGAGACACAAAGCCTTAAAGTTTTGTTTATGGGTACAACTGTTTCGATTTTTTCCAGAAGCCATGGTACATATCTTACCCATATTTGTTCACTCTAGTATAAACTAATGTGAAAAATCATGAATCATAAACAAAATCCTTTAGATGAGTTAAGTTTAATCAATTCGTATTAATTTGAAAAATAATAGTACAAAATGCTAATTAGGAACTTCATTATTGTTTACTGTTACTGTTATAACTTGTGACCTTTTGCCCTGTATATGTATAACGGAATGATACCACAAATTAGAGAGTAGTGAATTATCGATCGGACCAATGACGCCAAAAACCCGTGCGTGTAGTCCAGAGTACTTATCGGTCCTGCTTCCTGCCTAGCCCAGCTAGTTAAGTTCAGAACACCAATCTCAGTTTCTGCCATATGAATCAATTATTTCAAGCATACTGGGTTTATATACCGATCAGACAGACCACATCGTACCATAAAATGGAAAATAATATTTGCACAAGATTTAGCCAAATGTGACTGTGTGGAAGGTAGTAATTAATAGACAAGAATGGTAAGACGTATAATAATAGTTCATAGGTGAAAATAAAGCTCATAATAAGAGGGGCATGAATATGAATAGTTTAGTTATTTAACAATTATACGATAAGAATTCATTCATTATGCTTATTGGGACATAACAGTTACGCATAAAAGCTCAATGAAGCATGATAATAAGAAATGCTCCACACAAAATTTAAGAACGTAAAGCTTTTCCATTGCTAAATTGAAGGCCCTGAGATGAACAAATATCACAAGAATAGTGGAATTGAATAAAGAAAGAACAAATATCGCAGCGGAATAACATGAATTCACTTATTTCGCATATGTATCTGGCGCCCCCTTGTACTAATATTTATGTATTCAAATAAGTACTTATTTCGTGGATTCTCCACAACTGCTTACAACTTAAAACTAAAACATTAATCATTGAAATAAAACAAGTGTACATACTTTATATCAGGAACGCCTGGAATAAACCGAGTTAAAATGTGAAGATAGAATAATATTATAGTCTCCTGATATAAAGTATTTACACTTGTTTCGTTTTAGTGGTAATTACTTTAGTTTTAGATTTCTTAATCACGCCTAATGTTAGGTTTGCTAATTGGATTTTCAGGCTAAGAATATGACTAGGATTTACACAAAATCTTTCGACAAACAGGAGAAAACTATATATACATCAAATTAAGTACCAAGCTTTTTTCTAATTTCCTCCAACGGTTTGAGAAAAACTCCCAAAAGTAATATGATAAGGTTAACAAGATTTGAATAAAACCAATAAATAGGTTAAATTAAGGTCTCGTAGTTTTTTTACCTTTAGTAAGGGATCACAGTGACTAATTTTTGAACTTATTAAACTAGTATATTTGTATGACTTAATGTTTCCTGAAATTAAAAGCTATCTTTTCAGGAAATCTATATGTGAAGGGACATAGAGCAAAGTCGCAATGTGGCGGATGGTTTCCTAATAACAAATTAGATATTTTGACAAAAACAGAAAGGACCTATTCATTTAATTTAATTTCATAAGTTAGGACAATTTATTTATTTATTAGAACACATGAATATTGGTACAAGAGAGCGCCAATATATATGCGCCACACAAAACAATGAGAATTCGAAGAGAAATAGAAAACAAAAAGCTAAGGAGCGCAAATAAAAAGAGAACAATAACGAAGAGATTGGTGTAAGGTAGTATGGTAGAAATGAGGGAACGGAAAGGTACAATCAGAAGAAATCTTTCAGGCAAGGGAGACACAACCACTTTTTATGAAGAAAGTAAAAGAAGGTTACAGCAGGATCGCCACTGGCTTCTATTCTGAGCCATATCTGATAACATATCTAGCCACTGCGTTGCGCTATCTCTCGGACCCCAGCCAGGGAGTCGTGAAGGACCAACAGAAGCCAGTCCTTTGCAACTTTCTTTCATGCCACGACACTACTTCATACGCTGACTACCTCTCCGCTTTTTCCAACCAGTCCCAGAGTCGGCAAGTAATGCATGACGTGGAATTCTCTGGGACGACATTCGTAGAACATGTCCAAGCCACCGAAGTCGGTGTTTCAAGATGGTGACACCAATTGCATGATCGTCTATGTGCCCGAACACACGATCCCGAACCTCTGCATTACTAACATGGTGTTGCCACTGTACGGCAGCAATCCTTCGGAGACAACGATGATCGAACACAGAAAGTCGTCTAACGTCCTCAACTCGGAAAGGCCAGGTTTCACAAGCATAGAGCAAAACTGCTCTCACCGACGCGCTGTATATCCGACCTTTAACAGCCAGACTAACATCACGAAGGCGCCAAAAATGGCCCAGATTGGCATAAGTCGCTCTGGCTTTCACTACACGTGCATTGATCTCATCACTCACACCCCCACTAGCACTTATGCAGCTACCCAGATACACGAACTTCTCGACTACTTCTATCTGTTCACCATCCAGGGTGAGTACAGGATTAGAATCCTGCCAGTCTTGTAGAAGTACTTTGCACTTCGAAGGTGCAAAGCACATACCGTACCTACGGACACTGATTGCCAACTGATTAAGTGCGGATTGGATGCTTTCGGCATTGTCGCACAGTAAGACAATATCGTCCGCATATTCAAGGTCGGGAAGTCTTTCTCCAGGCAACAGATCCACACCACCATTACTTACATCCATCAGAGCTGTTTCCAGAATGTCATCAATGGCAAAGTTGAAGAGGAATGGTGAGATTGGGCAACCCTGCCTAACCCCACTGCTCGAATAGAACAATGGAGAGAGGTGGTTGCATGCCCACACTCTGTCTGAGGTGTTTGTATATAGGGCTTTTAGGATGTTAATAAACTTCTCAGGCACACCCTTCTTCAATAGACAATCCCCATTCGGTTTGGGCAGCTGCTTCGGTTAGGACAATGCTAAGAACTAAATGATATATTGGCCCAATACATGTATTTATGATAATTTTCTTCTCTTTATTACACTACCCAGACGTATTAATTCCTGTTTACACATCAATTACTTGGATCTTTAACGGGATGGATACAGAGCTAGTTTAAAAAGACAAAAAATATACTTACTAAAACTCCCAAACTTATTAACAGGTTATAGAGAACTTTTTGGTTATTAGGTAAGAATAACTGAATAATCTAACAAGGAATACTTACCTTCACGAAAACCTTATCTTTATGTGAAACAGTCTAATAAAAACAATTCGCCGGTCTAAATCCAAACTATAACAACTAAACTGCTACTAGGGAGCTATCCAACAAGGGTTTAGTCAAAGGAAGAAAAGCAGTTACGTAAACGAAGCCTCAAAAATTTTAATGAGCTGGAGGCGATTAACATTTGTAAAACCTTTCGATTTTCAACCGAAATGCCTTAATTTGTTTGGAGAATTATCCATGAGGAACTATACACCTATTTTAATAATATGATGTTGAGGTGTGTGGGGTTGCCACTGCAACTTATTAGCTAACATAACTCATTACGTATGCAAAGGTTGGTGCACTCATTATATTGAGCATGAGTTTTGTGGGAAAGAGCAAAACTCCACAAATATTGTCCAAAGAGACCCAATATATCTTCACCTTCCGAGTCAGCTAACTAAACTGTTGATATATGATTTCCGTTTACAGCAATGTTCAATAACGTATCAAGTCGCTCGAGTCAGGGAGTAATGGCGAACCAACGAATGCCACAACTATATTTTTACGCATCGGTTTCATGTTCTAAACGGGATATTCTGATTATTTCATTATTCCCAGCCTCCGAAAGTAATGTGGGAGTCGTTGAAATATACACAAAACAAAACCGAGCTGGTAAACTAGATTTCCTTGATTATAGTGGTCATGAATCACTACTTTCAAAAGACAGAGAAAACACTATTCAATCATGTTCTAAATTATCAATATATAGCACCATGGTAATTCGGGCAAACAGCCATAAAGAAAATAAGGCTGACTTCGAGGAGACTCGAAGTATCATCCCATTAATAACGTATGATCTAGGGTGGTTGAATATTGTAAACACAGTTTTGAAAGTTTACTGCTTGATAGGCGTTTGGCGTCGATTGTGATGAATTTCCAAGCTCCCAATTTCGGGGAAAATTTGACCCATCTTGTGAAAATTCCCCAAAGTTAGGAGCTTGGGTTGAAATGTGCCGACTACAGTATTTTGTATTGTCAGGTGGTAAAGTATTAATTTTTGCAGTAAAGCTCTGATAGTTTACAAAAGCACATCCATTAGCTTGAAAACCCAAACCTTTTCAACGACAGCTTACGACCTGAGCAACTTGTTTTGTGGGTGTATGTCTAGATAATTATCTAGACTGGGCAGATTAATCTGCCCAGTTAGAAATGTCAAAACCGGAAGCGGACATCTTAAGATTGCTAGAAGCTACTACTTATGGAAATATTCTCTACTTCACAAATTCGTAAAAACAGCCATGAGAACAAACTTTAATCAAGCTTCTAGTTGTATTACTAACGCTAAAATATGTTGCATCACGTGCAAATCGGGGAAGTAAAAAAGACTGACCATCAATGAGGAAAACCCAAAATAATAAGCAACAGTGCAGCTGTGAGATAACGATAATCTGACAATAAACACTAGACACAGGTAACGCGGAATCCAAATGCGTTGCGGAAATTAGACTCAATCAAGCCGCTAGATCTGAGTAATTTCAAATAGTTCTATTATATATCCAATATTCTTGTTACGAGCTTAGGTAAACCAATTGATTTCTTCAGGCCTGCTTTTTACTGTTTTAGTACGGTTACGGGTTTTCGGTAGTCTAGCTACTCAGCTGCATTATTTCTATTCAGTATATACTGAATAGAATCACGACTATATAGTCGTGATTTGCGGGTTGTATGTCTTGTTACGTTATTATAATCATTTGACCCAAGACAGTGCAGTTTTTAAAAACAAGACTTTGTCACTTATTCAGGTTAGGAATTGGCCAGAAGTGATGCGAGGAATGTTGAAGAGGAAAATCGAATATCAAGAAGAGACGGTTGCTTCAGGAGGTAAATAAATAAATAAGTTGATTAAGTATTTGTGTAGACAATGTAAGCAGACTTAAGAGTGAGAATAAAAGGAAAATAGAAATGATGATAAGTGAGGTAGGAATAAGCTTGTAGGGCCAGTGAAATGTCACTGAGCCCTAGCCAAATCATCCGGCAGTTGGATCACTGAATGTCGAACAGATCGTCGCTCCCTGCCAAGGTCATGTACAAGAAACGCGCATTAGTTAATCATACGCCATGGACTGGCCCATGCGGTAGTGGTCTTACTTTCGCCTGTATCTACCTTAACTAATATATTTCTGTAATAACGTCCTTTGTGTTGTACAGTCTTCAAAGCATCTATAGTACCTTGTTACGTCAATGGGGGTAGTCCACGTAAGGTGCTGACCACGAGGTGTGACTTCGACATTAGCTAGTTTGTCACACCATTCACGTCTAACTCGAGTAGGCCTCCAATCATTTTGACATAGATCGTCTACGTTGGTGATCTACACTGGTGAGCGAGACTTCGAATAACGCAACCTATCACTATAATCTTTATTATTGTATTCTATACTTATTCTTTTTCATTTTTATCATCGCCTATGTTAATCTGTTACTGTGAACTTTCGTTGCTTCATGTCAATGTTGATTAGCATTTAAACCTAGATAATTCGTTCAATCGACAGAACTAACCAATCAAATACGATTATAATCGGCTATCGTGGTTCTTTAACAAGCATTAGCAGCATGTAAATGCTCCTGTGTAATATGTCTGTTAAAATATCAACCACTCGTGAGTATAGCCACAAGGCAACACGAACGCATATCTCTTTGTACCTTATCCACTGGTATAAATAAGACAAGTTTAACTATGGACTATAAATTCATGTCTCTGCTTAACCACTATCCACTAGAATGTTCTGCTTTTTTTTTTACCACTGCCTGCCTAATTTCCAATTGCTGAGTTCCATGGCCAAACAGAGGATACGAATGCTAGAAATTCACGGTGAGTTTGAACTATAAATTTCCTGCGATCTTAGATCTCGTTTAGACTGTTCGTCAGGTAATGCTATGTATTCGGCTTAAATTAATTCTGGACTTATACCGATTCAGTCTACAATGCTGTGTTAATCGAAAAATTTAATTAACAGTACCTCGTACATAATCCAGATTCAAACTACTGCCTACTCTTCATTACTTAAAGGCAAGAGTAACCCAGGCGAGTTTCATAATTTCATTAGATTATTTCGTACTATATTTATGATGCGTGATAACATTTCGTAGTTGCTTTCACGTAAACCAGTCATATATTCTGTCACTGCCGTCAAGTTTTAGTCGAAATCATGTACATTTATGACTCGTTAGTCGACATACTGTGGTAAAACATATTGCATGTACACGAGCACGCTTAGTCCATGTCCCAAGTACACATGTTGTCGTACTTAATATGTCACTTAACGCTAGGTAATAAGCTCTTTGTATCAGCCTTTTACGAAATGGCCACGTTACCTGGACCCTCTAAACCTTAGTTACATTGGTGGTTACCATTTTAATTAATGTTTATTATAACCCTTGTATTTGCTATTAATTCACACGGTAAATCATGGCTCGACTTCCTTATTACACGACAGTCATTTTAATTCTATTTTCGGTTTATTTACATGCGATACGGGTTTGAAAAATATCTAAACGTCCTCGAAAATTCTCCACGAACCCAACCATAGTTTTCGTATATGTTTTTATTCACACATCCAACTGTTACGCTAACTATACCTAAACGAACGTTCAGTGCAACTGTCAGTATACGTAAGAACGATGTTATTTAGACTTGACATTGTAACACATCTGAACTATTGTAATTGTTCTACTTCGATGTCGTACTTCATTTTATGAAGTATTGTTTCCTCGTGGCTGTTATTTAACAGATGATTCCGGTACATCAATCGGCTGTTCAACTACTCGACGATTTACAACCTGTCCAGTTCAATTGGTGGTCTGACGACAATATCATTCGCGCGAATCATCAGTTTATGCAGTCGAGCGAATCTCCTGCAAACTGAAAATGATATTGTCGCCTCTATCCCAACACTGACAGCGTTTTTCACGGGTATCATTGACATGAGTCCAGAGTGACACTCTTGGTTTCTTATGTTCTTTTCGATATTTTTCTGTTCACTAACCGAACAAACACGCAGCATTCACCGTTTATCATCTTTTAGAGACTTCATCGTGCCACCCTTTGCTGTGGATTTGTAGCCTTCAACCCTTACTGACTGTAACAGCAGTCATCGACTTTTCAAACTGTGACTACAAGTTGGTCAATAGCTTCGCACAACGAAATCACGACCACTCTTCACTGTTATACTTCTGTACTTACGGTTAGTCTGTTAGATATAGATATAACTAGAATTTGACACTAATTAATAGCTGTCAACGACACTGTCCGACTTACAACTTTAAACTAATGACAGTACAAACAAGGACATCGATTGATAATACACTTATCCTACTATCGCTATAGCATCATTACTCTTGCGACGGACTTAACGTATGTCATCGGAGGAACTGAATTACTTGTCAAAACTATATATTTCAGCGCGACTTGATAGAACAATAAAACGTTTTGTTCTTTTCATTATTTCTATGGTTAATCAATTTACGTTTAAGCAACGACCTACTAACATAATATGACTCGCTGTTTCCCGACCAGTTTCTGCCGCCTCCTTTCCATTTGTTTTACAGATAAGCAATACCTGGAGGATTTATAATATTCGTTTGGCACTCTCCGGCGCGCGACTGCTCCCAACATGTTTGGTACCGATTCAAACGGCCGCTGAATCTGGTGGGGGAGTATTGTAGGGCCAGTGAAATGTCACTGAGCCCTAGCCAAATCATCCGGCAGTTGGATCACTGAATGTCGAACAGATCGTCGCTCCCTGCCAAGGTCATGTACAAGAAACGCGCATTAGTTAATCATACGCCATGGACTGGCCCATGCGGCAGTGGTCTTACTTTCGCCTGTATCTACCTTAACTAATATATTTCTGTAATAACGTCCTTTGTGTTGTACAGTCTTCAAAGCATCTATAGTACCTTGTTACGTCAATGGGGGTAGTCCACGTAAGGTGCTGACCACGAGGTGTGACTTCGACATTAGCTAGTTTGTCACACCATTCATGTCTAACTCGAGTAGGCCTCCAATCATTTCGACATAGATCATCTACGTTGGTGATCTACAAGCTAACGATACGTGATAATGATTATGGTAGATAAGTTACCAGACATTCATCAGGGACAGTGAGTTCAAGAGGAAGACGATAATCCTCGTATAAATACAGGTCTATCAAATCTCCTCCTGAAGCTATCCACTGAGTGAACTGTGGTCACTTCTGATAACAGAGCACTTCGAATAGGGGCAACTCCTAACGACAAAAAGTGGAGACGTACCTCAGATTATGCTCTTCCATGTGCATTTCTTCCCAAGTTGCCTCGAGGCGTATGGTTTGAATGTCCTGATAGGATCCTCGTCCTGAGGTGATTTGGAGTAATTAATATGTTATATGTCGTGTGATTTTCAATGAATTCGACCTCATGTCATCCGACTTCACAAACAAGGACTATACTACCTAGCTATCCGGGACACGGATGACGCTCTGTGGGACTAAGGTGTATACACATTTTCTGGATTGAATCCTCCAGGGAGTTTCAATTACATGCACTCAGGTTTCAAACGGCACGAAACCTTGGTCCAGCGTTTCCTATCAACCACTTACAAGCACCGCCTTACATCTCAGCACAGCGCACGCGATGTCGAGTCACCTTGACTAATGGCCATACCGAAACTCGATTGATAGAATTCGATCTTCAGTGCGAAGTATCTGACACACATGAAACTAGTCACCAATCAATTTTAAATATGGACCATTATTTGTTTAGCTGTCCCATACTTTAAGACCACTGGTTGAGCAGGACCTATATTTCCTTAATAAGTTTTGTGCTTCGTGTAGGGTGCTACTTATTTCCACGTATTCCTTTCTTTGGTCATTGACCTGTCTTTCCATTACCGTCAACATTGGGAATAATGCCACTAGTTGGTAACAGACTGAACCCATCCTATCTTCTGCTTTCAAGAATAGAGGGAGTACTCTGTGTCCACTCTTTTGACTGTGACTTTAGTATGTGTTTCAACAGGTCACACACTGGCATTATTTCGGTTTCAGTATCCTTAATAAAATAGGGAGTGGCCTACTGAATTTACCATTCTACGCGAGATAAAATATCCGGAATATACCTCCATCAAAGCACCTGAATACTCGATAGAGTGACCATAACATTATAGAACCTTTGGAACTTCTGCACTGAAATGCATAGTTGCTTTCCTGTAATTACCGTGAATTACTATTGGATCTTCTTGTTCTTATATTCATGGATGAGGTGTATCATTGGTAGTATAATTGTCACCACTGGTGAGTACAATGTTCACTAGCCCAATCCTTTTATAATCTAAATCTAAATCTCAACCTCTGGACG